TTAAAAAATAAAATCGTTTTTGTAGGATGGAAACTTTTTGAGGTCAACCCCCCAAAACTAAGGCAAATAAGTTTTTTATCCAACATCGATCTTTTGACGTCGTCCCTTATTGACATCACATATAAATATATCTAATTATTCGTTGTAGTACATTTTAATTAGACAACATAATGTTTGTATCTGTCAGCAACATACTTGTGTACTAATAACTAATTTTCATTCATATTAACATCTCAAATTAATTTCGCATGTGTTGAAATTGTACTCTATACCTTTCTGAACTAACCTCTGTGATAGTCGTACAAAATATCCATTGATCTAGCTTATTTGTGTGATATGATATATTTCACATGATGAATTTACTTGTGTTTTTATTATGACTGTTTCAATCCAGAGTTGCATGATTGTTAATACTTATTCATCTGCATTTCTTTCCTTCGCCCTAAATCATTTTCTTTTTGCATATTTACATACTTCAATTTATTCCAAATCATGTTAATCATTGTATTATTTTACCAGTAATATCAATACATCTCTATATACACATGTACTGTCTTTATTTTTACAATTCTAGTATACCAATATATTGTATATTGACTGTGCCATACATGTATGTTGTGTTATGTCAATTCACAAAGAATTATTTTCTGTGTTATAGAGCCTCTACCAGTTACTGATCTTACTAAAGTTGATGCAACTACAGCATTCATTGAATTTTCATGGATAGAACCTGAAAGTGGAACATGGTCAGGCTATGATGTTGGCTATCTCTCTGAAGATGGAACTCAGCAGTTCAGTGAATATTTATCTGATGATGTACACACTATCACATCTCATACATTCAATAATTTAACAGCCGGTGTACTGTATGATATCACTGTCATCACCGTAAGTGGTGAGGAGATGAGTACGAATGAAACAGAACCCATGAGAACAAGTAAGTGATAAGAATAATGTTTGAGATTATGATGTTGAGGTATGATGCGCAGCAGTGGAACCTACCTTGATCTTTTTGTTTCGTTTAGATTGCTTTGAACGAAACAGCCTTTATAGAAAAGTAAACCTATTTGCTATGAAACCCTACTTGCTGAAAAGGAGTTTCCTAGTTTTAAGGGCCACAACCATGTCCACTTGTCAACAACCTGTATTAAAATCATTTAGTCTCTTCAGAATTGTGGATCCACTTCATAGTTGAGAGGGCTTTGTATTTTCAAGGCAAAGTTTGATAAAATTGCAATGTTATTTCCAGAAGATCTCAGATTTCATTGCCAATCTATGTGAAATACTATAATTGTACTTGAGTGTCTTCAACCTGTAGTCTATATGTACATTGAGAGGGAGGCTAAAATGCATACATTTTAGTACCCGTTTGAACGCAGTTCGAAATCGGCGACTTCAGGATCTAGGTCTCAGTCGTGTGTTGATGGATTTGATTTAAACTTAGTGCACATATTGGATATAATTGCAGCTTCATACACATTATTTTATTTTTTGGGATCTGAATAAATAATGCAGCAATTTCAAACCTTTGGGGAACTATATGTCAGGTACATGTATTTATTGATGGATTTGGTTCACATCTGCTGCATAGCAAAAAGATTTTCCTAAGCTGTTAAAATATGATACATTTCGAGAAATTCATGTACATATCACAAGACATACAATTTACAGATATGTTAACATGCACTCTTGTTTAAAACGATGTGGCTTGTTTTGTGATTATGAGCACTTAAAAAAGTTGATTTTAACACAATTTATGTATTATATTGTTTTGTTTTTTAATTCAGTTCCTAATGCTGTAACTGATCTAGTATTGACAACACCTAATCAAACTAATCCTGAAATAGTTATAATGTGGAGTCCTGTGGAAGATGAAGTAAGTCATTACAGAGTAAAGTGCAATGATTCTGATGATGTGACCACTGAACCTGATGATCAAATCATACCTCATGAAAATGTTACATCACTGACTACAGAATGCAGTGATTTATTTCCTGGGAGATTATATAATGTCTCTGTATCTTCTATAAGTGGCTACGAAGGTGTAGATGAAACAGAAAGTGAACCAATTGTCAAAGCCAAGAGAACGCGTGAGTACAGAAAATATATAAGATTATTCCTAATATGAAATGAGATTTAATGACTTGTCTTTGTGTGTCTATACACAAATCTGTATGTAATTTGTGAAAAAAAAAATGTTATCTGAAATTCAACAAGTATGCACCATGGGACAATTGCAAGATATGTTTATCAGTTTCTGCTAGATAGAGAGTATCAAGTTGGGATTAGACATATTTTGGAAGGTTGTTAGTACGTAATGAGTATCTAATTATTAAACACTAGATTGGTGAGTGGTACAACACAGTATTTTTTTCCAATAGTGATCACATGTAATCCAGAGCAACCAAATTTATATATGTTGCACTTCTTGTTGAAAACCGCAAGTCCAATTGCTTTGATATTATACATATATGTGCTACATGCAGACCTCTCTCAGATATGTTAATTTCGTGATGATATCTTCAATTCTCTAATTTTGATGAATATTCTTGTAATTTTTGGTAAAATGTGATATTTTCGACTTCTTGTTAAAAACCGAAAGTCTGATTTCTGATAGGTCTGATAGACCTCTCTCAGATTTGTTTTTTTTTCTAATGATATCTTCAGTTCTTTAATTGAAATGTGCATTGCTAACAGCGGAGCATTCTCAGCCGAGAGGCTGATTGTTTTCATTTAATAAAAGAGATGACACAAACTCTAACAGGAACGATAATTTTTATATATACAGTAAATTCATTTGTTAATAACTTGATATCCTTGGTGTAAAGATGTTGATAAAAAAATCAAAAACATCCACTTACATAGTATGTAGGCTTGTAATTAATTTCAAGTCTGTCTGATTGAAAAGTTTTTCCAATTTCTTTAAAAACATGAGGACTGTTCTTCTTTCTAATGATACTATTTTGTGCATGGAAAATAAATAAGAATTTATGTGATGATTTGATTGACAAGAGAGTAACTTAAATCAGTAGCAGAACTACACCAATCAATTTTATACTAAACACTTTAAGTCAATAATTCACAAAATAATATAGAACAATGTTTGAATTATAGACATTGATTTAAATAATCTACAGTAACAGTAAATTCTATTGGAAGCAATCAGTGTTCTTTTAGCAATGATGTTACAGTGAAACATGAATAAATTGAATCCTACTGAACAAATGATTATTCACTATTGTAAAATACATTTTTCATTCATTTTGACACCAGATTGATCACTCATTGTGAGAAATTAGCAATGTTAATTAAAACTGTTGAATGGTTTGTATTTTTTTACAGACCCAAAACCTGTTACTAGCCTAAGTTTGACTAGTCCCGATAATTCAGTTGATACTATACATGTATCTTGGACTGCGCCAGAAGACAGTGATGTAGATGGTTATAGAGTTGTCTGTACTGAAACAGATAGTGGCGATAAAATTGATGATGTTGAAGTGACTGTTACTAATTATGATTTCAGTGGTTTAACTGCTGGAAGATTATATACTATAGATGTATATTCTTACAGTGGATCTGATAATGATGAGAAATTATATAGTGTGAACACAACTGATGTCAAGAGAACATGTAAGTAAAGGATGAAACAAAATTGAGTAGTACAGTGTATATTAAAGATATAAAATATGTACATAGAAATATCATTTTTAATAATGTTTGTTCAACACGTAACATAGACCAAATCAGTCAGATTATAATTTATCATAAACTAAAAATTTGCAGATCACACAACAGTATTTGTTAGATGTAAAATCCAAACCAATAATATGCACATGCATGATTTAATTCATCAGCACATTAATTTTTTTCTTTATTAACATTTATATTGCTGATCATCATTAGATAAAATGAAAGGTATGCAAGGGGAAAATGTATGTCCTTGTTATTGTTGTTAGTGAGCTTTTGGTTTTGTTTGCCTATTTGTTCATTAGTCTATGTGTACGTAAATGTTGTGTAGTCCGACATGATTAAATAATAACACATGCTTGTGAGGGTAATATCACGATTTGTTGCTTACCCAATTAAGGTGGTCATAACCATAATATTGATGATGCCAGAGCCAAAGGCGACAATTCATGATATCGCTTGAATGACCATGTATTATTTATTTTATCACATTGAAAAGACATCCACCATGCACAATTACATTTACCATACATCTCCCACAAAATAACAACACCGTTCGGACGCAGTACGAAAACTGGTCTCTTATTTTTTTACATTTGTGCATCCATGCATCTGTGTGTACGTGCTTGCATCTAGACCTGTATCTTAGACATGCCTGGACCAATGACAATCAAACTTCACACATACATCATACATACCGGGTAATATTGTACATATGCACATCAATTTGTTTCACGATCTGATTCAAGATGACTGAATAGTGGCCATTTTTGTGCTAAAAAATCATTAAAATCAAGCATTTATGGATGGATTTTAAACAAAGTCCATACTATGGACATTATGGGACCTTGATGCATATCATTTTCTTTTTTAGATCCAATTTAAAATGGCCGACTGGCCGCCATTTTGTTTTAATGAATGCAGTTCTAGTGCCATATCTCTGCCATGCTTTGACTGATTATGATAAAATTTTATATATTCATTATACATCATGACATAGATATATTGGTTTGACTATCTGATTCAAAATGGCCAAATGGCAGCTATTTTTGTGCTAAAAAATTATCAAAAATCAAGCATTTCCAGAACTGGATCTTGGTGTTTATGGATGGATTTTGTTCAAACTTGGTACATACATTGGACACTATGAGTTCTAGATGCAAATAATTTTATTTTTCAGATCGGATTCAAAATGGTTGTCTGGCGGCCATTTTTGTTTAAAAGAATGCACTTCTAGAGCCATACATGTAGCTCTAATATGGTTTGATTGATTATATTCAAATTTTATATATTCTTTTTACGTTATGTTATAGATATATAGATGTATTCAAAATGGCCAACTGGTGGGCTTTTTGATTTAATTAATGCTGTTCTAGAGCAATATTTCTCAATATGGACAAGTATTTGTTTGACGATCAGATACAAGATGTCAATCATTTTAATTTTAATCATAATCAAGCATCATCTTCTGGATCCATACTTCTGACATGTTTATGTTCCAACTATATTACTATAAACAAAACAATATATCTTAAATTTGATAACTAATGGGGACTGTGCCATGCATGGCTTGTTTTATTTAGTATAACTATTGACACATTACTCAATAGCATACATACATTGTTTGCTGAAAAAATACACTTAGTAAATTTTACTTTCAGTCATAGTTACTCTTTTTAGTAACAATGTTTCAGCAGTGTGAATCACTAAATTTATCAAATATAAATGCTCACAGCGTAGAACACATCGTAGCTATCATCATGGCTTCAATGTTTTAGTGTCATCTGTATGATACAATGTAATATCCACAGGTTGGCAATATACCATGTAATAACCATTTTCATTCATTGTCATGTGACTTGTCTCAACCAATCATAGCATGCATAACAACAGTGAGATGTGATAATTTTTTTAAAATGCGATTTTAAGACAAGTCATAATGAAATAAATTTGCAGGTTGATTAGTTTTCTTTTTCAAGATATTTTCTCAAATTCATTAGGAATATATAAAAAATTTCAATCTATTTTTTGAATGGGACTAAGTAGTAATTGTGAAAATACACATGTGAGCTTGCCAAAATGAACCATTGTTACCAAAATCCATAGTTATTGGACAGTATATATTACTTCGGAAACTCTGGCATAGCATACAATAAAAAAAGTTTGACAGTATGTATTGTAATACTGTGGTGATATGGGTTTATCATCTGCCCTGTCTTACTTAATTCACACTGTGGTGATGTAGGCAAGTTATGTATGTCATAATTGTTAAAATTTGGCTGGGCTAAAACAATTGTTGGTTATTAAAAATAAAGGGACAAAATGAAGACCATTTATACTGCTGAGCATGAGAAATATAGTAATATGCTCCCCAAGGCCTGTTATTAGTTAAGTGTAGTTATTAAAAACCAATATCATATTTTCAATATGTTGTATAAAACACTGGCCAGTATTTTCACCTTCTCCGTATTATCAAAGATGAAAGGCAAGGTATAAGAGGGAAAAATGTCTTTTTTATTGTCGTTGACTTAGTCAAAAGACTTTATCTTGTGGTTACAATAAATTAAACAGTTTTTACACGTCTTCTTTTAAACTTGTATTAACCAGTTTAGAATCTTGGCCAATCTTGATTATGGTTGATGTTCGAAGAAAAGATAAACAAAAAAGGGGATCCCCCTTGCCTGATCTCCCTCAAGTGACTATAATACTGTGTCAACTTCCCCCTATTCACAATGCGTTTTATTGGATTTGAATAGAAGGGTCATATTGATAGCAGGAATGGTGCATAAATCAATTTTTTGAGGCAACCAAAAAATCATATAGTCTCATTATATGCTAAATGCAATTTTGCGTTATCTGAATTCTGTCAAGATTGTGATGAGGCATCTTTGATCTTCAGTATGGGTCATTTTCCCATATCCTACACACATTAGTATGTAAGCGAGAATTAATTCACACTTGCTTATGTATCAGTATTTATTATATAACAGGAGCTGTTGACAGAAGCTTTAAATTAGTTTTATATCTTTTTGACAATCACTATATCACTCATGTTATTTGAATTGTAATAAATCGTGGGTAGAGCTCTATCAGGTAGCTCATCAAAATTATAATTTTAGTTTATAATTTAATTGGATAGGTTGAATTACAAACATTGTTTGCTCCATTTAGTACCAAAAAAGGCTATATTGGTGCATTTTGGGGATGGGAAACAAATGTATTGATTGACAACAGAGTAACTTACTTTAAGTCAATAACTCACAAAATAATATAGAACAATGTTTGAATTATAGACATTGATTTAAATAAACTGCAGTAAATTCAATTGGAAGCAATCAGTGCTCCTTTAGCAGTGAAACATGAATAAAATTTCTCTAAATTGAATCCTACTGAACAAATGATTATTCACTATTGTAAAATACATTTTTCATTCATTTTGACACCAGATTGATCACTCATTGTGAGAAATTAGCAATGTTAATTAAAACTGTTGAATGGTTTGTATTTTTTTACAGACCCAAAACCTGTTACTAGCCTAAGTTTGACTAGTCCCGATAATTCAGTTGATACTATACATGTATCTTGGACTGCGCCAGAAGACAGTGATGTAGATGGTTATAGAGTTGTCTGTACTGAAACAGATAGTGGCGATAAAATTGATGATGTTGAAGTGACTGTTACTAATTATGATTTCAGTGGTTTAACTGCTGGAAGATTATATACTATAGATGTATATTCTTACAGTGGATCTGATAATGATGAGAAATTATATAGTGTGAACACAACTGATGTCAAAAGAACATGTAAGTAAAGGATGAAACAAAATTTAGTACAGTGTATATTAAAAATATACTATGTCATTAAAAATATAATTTTTGACTCCATGTACTAAGCACACAATGTGAATCTTTGCAGTTAGTGTGTCTAGACATGAGTATGAGTGTGTCCCTCTTTTTGAGGAAACTTGATGCATAGATGCTGTGGGCTATGTGCAGACCTGATTAGTTTTGAGTGAAAACTCATGCATATTAATTACCTAATTTGCATAAATGATTAGTCAAAGTTTGACTTTTCCCTCTGATATCTCAAGTACAAATCATCGCATTTCAATGAAGCTTGGTACATGAATGCTCTAGAACACTGCACTGACCTGTTCAGTTTTTGTTAAAATCTGTGCATATTACTTAATACCTAATTCGCATAATAATTCATAAATTTTTGTTTTTCCATTGATATCTCAAGTTCTAATCACATTTCAATGAATAATTAGTCAGTTTTCAGTTTGTCCATCAATATCTCAAATACCAAGTATATTGTACTCATCTTATTTCATCAAATCTTGGTAAATAAATACTCTAAGACAATGCAATCATCTAATTAGTTTTGGGTTATATCAATTATCTAATTTTGGTAAATAGTTTTGTCGTTTTTGATAAAAAGTGATGTTTTCGACTTCTTGTTAAAAATCACAAGTTTGATTGCTTTGATACCATGCATATTGTTCATTTTCTAATGGTATTTTTAGTTCTTTAATTGTAATGTGCATTGCTAACAGCGGAGCTATCTCAGCCGATAGGCTGCTTGTTTAGTTCTCATCAGGGGCTATTAATCAGGGATTATTAATTTAACGTCCATCCGTCCTTCTGAAGTCGTATCTCAGACACTCATTGACCAATCTCATTCAAAATTCACAGAAAGACAGTACATCACATTTTACAGATGTTTTTTTTTTTATTTGAAGATGAGAACAAAAATTAGCCATCTGGTGGCCATTTTGTACATAAAATTTGCTATTTTTGTTTCTCAAACGTGTCAGTAGCTGTTTCTCATAGATGACTATGACAATTTTGATCAAAGCTGGCATGATGATCATACATATTGGGTTACAGGTGCACATACTTTTTTTTCGTGATTCAAACAAATTTTGATGACTTGTGGTCATTTTTTTTTATTTGTTTTACATATTTCCCCCTTTTTTTTTCAATACACTTTTACAGATTTATTTAATGTTAGTACATTGATAGTATAAATGACGATACATCAGCAACTTTTTTTTTTCGTGATGCACTTTGGCCGGCCAACAGTCCATTTTGATGAAAAAGTGCTAAATCACCATTTTTACATGTCAGCAGCTGTTTCTCAGAGATTACCTCAATGATTTTGATCAAAGTCAGTGGGTAACACATTAACATGCTAAATAATCAGACTGGATGGGGACAATGAATTGTTCGATTAATAATGTTCAACACTTCAAACTGTAGACCAAATCGGATTATGATTTATCATGAACATGTTTATAATGATATGACACCATCCAGAAATGTGACAGAAGATAGTTACATGCAAGTTTTAGTGAACTTCCTGGCATTTTGACTGCTCAGTGTTGACACATATAAACAAGGGGAGATGACAATACATAATTACAGAAGACATTTGTTGCCAGCAGATACGAGTAAAGCGTGGAGCTTGAGGTTAAATACAAAAACCAGTATAACATGATATTGTACCTGGTCACAGTCTTTCAATAATTTAACGCATTTTGATCAAACCTTAATTTTGACTTTTTTTATTTAACTTGTGTTGTCCACACAAAATGCTTAGATATGTATTATTGCATCACTTCAGATTTATGGGCTATGCAAAGAAAAAATATTGAATCGTTAATTTGTATTCCTCCATACATTTGTTATTATTAAACCACGATCTATTATTTTATTCAGTTTATAAAAGCAACTAAACCCGCATTTGTTAAACATAAATGCAGGGAATAAAGACATTTATACACTGCTGATCACTGCTGACCAGATGTTAGTAGTATAATTACTCCCAAGAACTTATAATGCAGCATTCCAATGTTTATATTTTTAGTGTAAATTAGTCATTAGTATTTATTAATTAAAAAAATTATAAGTTACTATAATGCTGACCTCATTATTCTTGTAGATTTTTAGTCAAAATTGTTCCCACCTAAATTTTAGCCAGTACTTTATGCACAAAATGAGTTTTATATTGTTGTATATAAAACTATTATTTTCACTTCGCAGGCAGCAAGTATAATGTTAGTTTGTACCCATTGTGAATTCTAATTTATTATCCAATATCTTGATACTCAATGGGCAAGGTTGTAATAGTTATGCTATGTTTAATAATACTGTAAAACCATTTAATTTCACTATTTTGATGTTTTGCGCATATTTACTAGGTTAAAACCTAGTTGTCAAGAGAACAATGAGTTGTATTCTTAATTCGCATGTTCACTTATTTTTAATTTAGCAGATTTTACTTGTCAGCAAAAATAGCAAAATTTAAACCCAATAGTCAATGCATTTACAGTATTGTGATTGTTGGTTTAAATACTCATCATTGTGTCTTTGCAGATCCAAATTCTGTTACAATAACTTCAACATCCACCACTACTGATAGTCTTAATGTAACATGGTCCTTGCCAGATGGTAACTGGACTGGATACAGAATAGAGTATGTCCCTCAGGACAATCTTGCCAATGCTGTTCTACGGAGAGAAGACATTTCTGATCCTGAGCAGAAAATAGTACATCACACGATATATGATCTTTATGCAGGAACATTGTATAACGTTACAATCTTTACTGTAAGCAGTGGGATTGATCAACTTGAGAGCTTACCAGATACAACTGAAGACAGAACAGGTAATTTAATTTAATTAAGTCCCTTTACGTGAGATCAATGACAAGCTATTATTGATGCTCAATGTATTTTGTTTTATCAGACACTGAAAACATAACCCATACATAAAACCTCATAGAAACATGTTGGAAAGTGTCACAAACCTGTCTTCCTTATTTGTCATATTTACATCGCCTTCCAACAATCTTCTTTGTTTACTTCAGAGCACTATATCAGTACATATGTAAATATAATCCTGTAACTGAATGCAAACATTCACACAGTGCAAAACTTTCTTTGTTGTCATTTTTGACTCTTTTTATCTCATGTTAAATTATTACTACAAGCTGAGAAAAGATCTAAAGGTTTTCAAGAGATTACTGCAAAATATGTACTCAGGCAGTACAGGAACGCAGTGAACACCACTTTGCAATAGTTGATAGAATCACCATTCTGCCTTATACTTTGTGGTTTATCATAATAACCTCATAGTATTTTGTACCCACACAGTTTTACCTTGGAATTATTACAGTATAACACACAAACATAACTCAAAACTATATTCTTATCAGATATAGAGAAACTTGTAATATTTGAATTTTTTCTACAGTACCAGCAACTGCATATAATGTGACTGAAGTGGAGTCATCAAAAACTAGTTACTCATTAGAATTTTCTTGGAAAATTAATACAACTAGCTTACATGACTATTATGAAGTGTATTACCGAGGACAACTGGATACATCATTTAGAAACACAACATCTGATTCTGAGAACGTTTCACTTGTGGATTTAAGAGCAGGGGACACCTACAATGTAACTATCATCACCATATCTGGTAAAAAACGAAGTGCACCAAGTGAGCCTGCATATGGCACAACAAGTAAGTAAAATTTTAAGAAAGTTTATTTCAAGAATGATGGAAATCCCATCTGATATTCTTAATGTCACTCCTCCAATATTACACTGTCATTATCTGCAATTTGATAGGGTTAATTCGTGCAATTTTAGATTGTGACATCACTGTGTGACCACCTCAAGAACGTCAAAACAAACAATCATTTTGCTTTAAAATTTTTAACTCCCATGTGAATCTGTATATGTATGTGTGTTTGTGTTGTCAATGTTATCACTACTTTCATTTAACTTTACATCTACTAAGTGTGATAGAACTATCAAGTCAAAGTTGCATAGCTGCGGGTTAATAAAGGGGGAAGGTATGGTATATTAATATTAATATAATTGTACCGTTCCTACCCGTTTACTAGACGTAAGCTTCACAAACATTTCTATGTTAAGTAACAGGATATTTAACATTTATTCAATTGAAATCCAGTTAAAACGCAACCCTATATAGGAAATTATGATTTTCACATTTATTTGTTAATTGATGAAATACACTATGAACTTTCATATGATAAAGTCAACATAACATAGAATGTCATGTAAGTTGGTTAAAATGTTGATTTTCTGAAAGGAAGCAAGGCAGCCTCAGTAGTGTCATTGAGGTAGAAAAGTGAAGGAGTGAGGACGCTATTGTTTCCGCTGGTTTCATGATGCTTTGGATTTATTTACTCAGTACACATTGTAATTATTTGGCAAACACACTGTCAAGTGTCACCGTTAATCGGCTTACGTGTTTTGACTGTATTCGGAAGCTTCATGAAGATTCTCGATGCACTGCGCATGCCCAAACAGATAACAATAATACAAAATGCAGCGAAAGACGTACGCTGAGTGTACTCAATGCCCCAAATCTATTGCAACAAAAAGACGCGATTTTCAACATCTGCACAGTTCTGCACAACAATGTAAAATGCCCTGTCAAAACATCTTGTTATAAACTTATCATGTATTTTTAAATTTCAGTGCGAAAATTTGTGGGATTTTTTCAATCAATGTCCAAAGTTGGACGACTATTTTGATGAAAAATATCAGAAAAGAAGTAATCACACATCGTCCGTATGCAGAATTTCCGGTACCTACAAGTGTGAAATGACCTTTGTGACCCGATAAAAGTCATTGCGCATGCACAATTTTTTTATTTATGGTTTGCGCATTCAATTTTATAGACGATGTTTAAACGGAATTTATTTTTTTCAGTTTTCTTGTGTAAATGAGCGGCTATCATCATGTAGATAAAACGACTTCTAAACAAAAACAATAAGTGGCTTAACCAGAGCGAAGACAAAGGATGTTTATAAGATTTACATGGGCTTAAATAGCGTCCTCACTCCTTCTCTTTTTAGCTCCGCTGTCGACTTTGTCGAGCGGAGCTTATCATATGAGTGATTGTCCGTCGTCGTCGTCCGTGTCAATGTTTTACTTTTTCGACTTCTTCTTGAAAACTACAAGCCTGAATGCTTTGATACTTGGTGTATATGTACCTTGATTAGACCTCTCTCAGATTTGTTCATTTCATGATGATATCTTCAATTCTCTAACTTTGGTGAATATTTTTGTCATTTTTAGTAAAAAGTGATATTTTCGACTTCTTGTTGAAAACCGCAAGTGCAATTGCTTTGATATTACATATATAGG